AATCAATGTTAACAAAACAGGTTTGGTAGTGAATTAAAAGTTTAATGTGACACATCCCAAGAGAGTTGATTCCCAGAACATAAGGATATTTGAACATTTGGAAATCAATTCATACATTTCTACTTACTAACAGATTCATAAAGGAAAAAGCCACAATTATCTCAACAAACTGAGAATTCAACGTTCTTTCCTGTTTAATAAATTCTTATAGTGAAAGACAAATAGAAGTATATATGTTTGACATGATAAAAGTGGTTACAACGTATATGACAAATTTTAACTCCTTAATATTTAAAGTGCTTTTTACAAAGCAATAAGAAAAAGATACACCAAGTAGAAAAATAATAGGAGGAGGAGGCAAATCAGAGTAAATTATCCTCAAAGCATTAAAAATATATTCAGTGTTCTCTCATTTAAAGAAATACAAGCATAAGCTATACAAAATAAAATTTTAAGCTATTCTACTGGCAAGTATTAAAATGCTCAATATTGGAGAATCTGAAAGACACAGGCTCACTCATTTAGCTGGAAGATTTGTATATTGATAAAATAATTCTGGAAGATACTTTATCAATATATTAAAAAGAATGAAAAGGGCATATATATATGTGTGTGTATATATATATCCTTTGGTCTAGAAATTACATTTCTAGAAGTTATAACTGAAGAAACCACTTGAGATAGATGCTCATAAGATTTAGCAAGAAGATTATTAATCAAAATATTTACAATGAAAAATAAAACTAAATGTCCAATAATGGAGTAATAGTTAAATATTATAGGTCCTTATGATAGAATATTTTTCAACCACCAAAAATGGTAAGGCATATAAATACTTACTGATATGAAAGAAGTTCATGATTCATTCAGTGAAAATACAAAGCTCAAAACAATGTAACAGTATGATCTGGGTTTCATTGTCTATCTCTAACTGTCATTTATCTATTTGCCTACCTACCAATGCACCTATCTGAAAAAAACTGAAACCGTATTTATCATGCTGTTAATGTTAGTTCTCACCGGTTGGTGTTTTTTCATTTTCTCTATTATTTTACACTATATGTTATTGCATATTATTGCTTATTATTTTCTCTTTTCAAAAAATAAACAAATATTGCTTTTGCAGCAAAAAAGTAAATGCTATTTTAAGGTAAAAGCATGTATATATTTTCCCTTTTGTGTAAAGTATCACAAAGTTTAAATATTCGTTTTATAAAATGACTCCTGCAAGTCACTTACAGAACAACACAGCAGAAAAATGGGTTATCGATTATTCCCAAAATAAAAACTGTAAGTGACCTAGGAACAAGAAAAATTCAACCTCACTAGTAATTTAAAACATAAAATCAAAACAAGGTCATCTTTTCCTAGTACCAAATAAACAAGTCTTCTAAAAAAGTAAGAGAATTAATTCTCTGTGACAGTAAATGTTTAGTGCTATGAGATCTCTTGTACAATGCAGATGGGAACAATGTATCTAGAGACTATGATAATACCTAACAGAAGCCTTAATGTTGTGCATGCCATTTGGCCCAGACATTCATTCCCTTCCTCAGAATTTCCATTAAGAGACCATTATGCACACATGCAAATAAGGATGATCATCACAATATTGTTTGTAACAGCGAAAATTAGAAAAACTCAAATGTCCAAAAAGAAGTTAACTAAATTACGGTATATCCATAAAATGGAACGTTATTCAGAAATTAAATTGGACTTCTAGAAGAATAGCTAATGACACAGAACAGTTTATACTGCACTATAAAGTGGAGAGAAGTGTTCTTTTTCTGCTTTATCACAAAACCGGGGAATATGTTCTTTTGGTGCCACGTGCAATATCCTGGTATTCTTGGCACATTTGATATTTGACCACTTAACATGGCGTGTTGGTGACTGTTCTAACACTTGATAACAATGGTACTGTGAGTGTCTCTCTCTTGTCCCTCCTTATGAATTTATACAGTGATTTTACAATGGGAAAGATCTGTATCTAACAAAACAGTACTGGTAAAAATGGGTCTGTGTTCCTAAGATATGGAACCTGATGGTGAGTGCTAAAGAAATAAGGTGGTGACCTTAACATAACCTGAAAATGCACTTAGAACTAACAAAAAAGTAAACACACCGTTTATTTGACTTTGTGATTGAATCAACAATCCCAAAATATACTTTATTGTTGTTATTCAAGACTTGGAGAGGCAATTAGCAGTATAATGGATATAGTGTGTTCTTTGAAACTACATGCAAATTACAAATAACCCCCATATAGGCATCAAGATTCAGCTGTTCCCTTCTGTACTCATCCGAAGCACCGTAGTATCGTGGTTGAGAGCTCAGCCTCTTTTGGTCATAACCTAGGCTCTGTTGCTCTGTGTGTTTGGGTCAGTTACATATAAAATGGGCATAATGACAGTACTGACATCACAGGGATGCTATGCAACTGAAGTTAATATACTTAGAGACCTTAGAATATACATGGTAAGCATTCATTAAGTACTAGCTGATAGTATTTTCATTACTACCGTTATCAGGGGACTTTTGCTTATTCTGGTTTTTGGTTACTTTTACGTATTTAAGAAAATTGAATGGCTTCCATAACATTTACTTGCTTACTAACTCGCTCATTCACTCACTGCATTTCCCTATATCCCTATGCTTTGTTTGCTTTGAGATCTTGAATACCAGAGCCTAAAAAACACACAGAGACTCCATGAGGCTGTAGAAGCATCGAAGAAGAGTCAGGAAAGTAAGGGCGGTTATTCAGCAGCAGGGAGGGACACAGAATAGCTCAAAGTGGCCACAGAACCAGAGCTCTAGACACCTGATTCTGCACCACGATTCCTGCAGCACGAGCCACACGCTGGGTACTCGGAGTTCCTGTCCCGACCCTGATTTTCTTCAGGCTTGGCTTGGCTTCCATGTCTTTTATAAATTTTCTCAGGGCACCTGGGTGGCTCAGTTGGTTAAGAGTTGGACTTGGGCTCAGGTCATCTCATGGCTCAGGAGTTCGAGCCCTGCGCTGGGCTCTGTGCTGACAGCTCAGAACCCGGGGACTGCTTCAGACTCTGTGTCTCCCTCCCTCTCCCACTCACTCTTTGCTCCCTTTCTCTCCCTCAAAAATAGATAAAACATTAAAAAATTATATAATAAAACTTTCTCAGCTGAGGAAGCCTGAGGACATCTTTGAAGTTTGCAGAGCATGTATGACACACACGTGGGAACCATTTAAAGTATGCCATGGATATCTACACAGGATATGCACACTGTATACTGGGCCTCGCCAGCTTTTCTGCTCTGTTGACCGCTCGGCCTTTTGTTACGGATTTATGTTGTGACCTTATTCTTCAGCTAGCCCTTTGGATGACTGTCTGACTTTTGGACTTACAATCATGACTTTTATCTAAAGTACCTCTCTAGGTCTCAGTCCTGAGCTCTGACTTCTCTATTCATGAATCAGCATGTCCTTACATTGTCATGGCAATGGAATCTGCTTGGGTGTGAAATGGAAGGAAGGTTGTGATAGAATCTGTGTAATGGGCAGGTGGGTTAGAAGGAAAGGGATGTGAGCAGGAAGGAGGGTTTTAGAAAGTAAAATTGATATAATATCAGGGAGGAAGGAGTGGGCAAAATTCAGGGTAATTTCTATGCTTTTGTCTAGGTTGTGTGGAGGGACTATGAACAAGAAATGGCAGTTTTTCCAGCAAAGACAAATTATTGCATGAAGGAAGCTTGGAGATTTCAGGTGGATTCTTCCTGCAGAACAGCTGAAAATCTACTTTTACAAACTCAGACCATTTCTCCATTGCCCTAACTACCACCTAGTTTGAATTAAAGTAAGTTGTTCTACAGTAGATTGTAATTTTCTCTTTCACTGTTTATTTGCTTTTCAGGAGTATTTGGGTTCATATCACTTCAGAAATAAATTCATATTCATGTTGACCTTAGAAAAAGATACATCATGATGGGGCCTCTGAAAAACCTGTGCATCAGGGATCTGAATTCCAGAGGGTTTTTAGTTTTATTTATTTATTAAAAATTTTTAAATGTTTATTTTCCAGAAAGACAGAATGGAAGTGGGGGAGGGGCAGAGAGAGAGAGAGGGAGACACAGAATCTGGAGCAGGCTCCAGGCTCTGAGCTGTCAGCACAGAGCCCAACGCAGGGCTCGAACCTACAAATGGCGAGATCATGACCTGAGCTGAAGTCGGATACTTAACTGACTGTGAGGCACCCAGGTGCCCCTAGCGTTTTTATTTTTTACAGAATCATAAAATGTAACAAGATAGGGTTGATAGTCCTGCAAAATTTGTTAACTAGCACTATATTAATGCTGTTACCTATAGTAACAGGTAACGGGAAAAAATGAAGGGGAAAAATGTCAAAATGCACAAAAACATCAAGTTTGAAATAACTTGGAGCCATAAGACCATCTTGTGAAATCTCATAAACTATGGTTTAGGAGATTTAATATACTGTGGCAATAAATTAGTGGATGACAAATTTGAAATGTGTAGCTTCAAAAGCAAGTACGGAAGAAAATGGTATTACTTGGCAAAAGTTATATATACATCAGTCTACAGTCTTACTTTAAAAGTTCTTATTTCTGCCTGGCTATACATTGTATATATGAGATGAAAAGAAAAAAAAAAAAGTAATCACAAAAGGACAGAAAGCCCTGCCAAGTGAAAAAAAATTAATGAAAGCAAAGGAAAAGATACCAAGAAAAATTTCAAAGAAAAAGGTAAATTAATTGAGACGCAAAAACATTTTTCAGAAAAACTGGAGGGGAAAAAAAATAAGCAGATGAAATTTAGGACAAGTGCCCAGAAAGGAAAAACTTCCAAAGGAGAAGAAATACGAAGACGGAAAAGGGAACTAAAAATCACAGTAGGGACATAGCCTGACTGCTTTATCGTTTTATTCCTTAGAAGCCCTCTATCAATGAAGCACAACCACAACTCCGGGGAATACAAACAAATATAAAATTACGCGTAAATGCGAGAAAGAAATTCAATTAAAAAAAAAAAAAAAACAAAAACCCCAGCACCCTTCATCTTTGGGTGGGGAGACAATGAATGATTTTTTTCTTCTTAGTGTTCGGTGCTTTACCGAAATGTCTTACAGAAAGATACACCACTTCCATATGGACAGGAGTAAACTCTATTGAATAAAGTGAAGCTCTGTATCACATTTCATATTCAAATATAATCCAGCAGTTTCCCTCTGCTGCCAGCCGAGCCAGGAACTCAAGAGGATGCTCTTCTTACCCGTAATATAGGTCCCAGTCTGCCTTTCCAAGCGCGGTGGCCTATGTGCGGGAGGAGCTCTGCACTGCGCTCTTCGCGAGAAACTGACCGCCACGCCCCTCGCGCGGGGCGCCATCCATCGGTTCCTCGCGCGGCTCGGTCCTCCGTGCTGCCCTCCTGCGGAGGGAAGCGGCTCGGATTCCTCAGGCTCCCAGAATCTGAGTCGCGCCCGCGGGGCATCCCGGGGTCCCCGCGCTCAGACGCCCACCGTCCTGTCCGCCCTCTCGCACATCCGCTGCAGGATTCGGTGGATGCTGGGGAAGCTGGGCCTGTCGGCGGGCAGCTTGCTCCAGCACAGGCGCATCAGGTTGTACAGCTCCAGGGGGCAGTCCTCGGGCCGGGACAGGATGTGGCCGTCGCGCACGTAGTAGATGACCTCCTCGTGGGCCATGCCGTAGTAGGGCTGCAGGCCGTAGGAGAAGATCTCCCACAGGACCACGCCGTAGGCCCACACGTCCGACTCGGTGGTGTAGCGGTTGTAGAAGATGGACTCGGGGGGCATCCAGCGGATGGGGATGGCGTCGTTCTCGTTAGCTTTGTAGTAGTCCGCCGAGTAGATGTTCCTGGAGAGGCCGAAGTCGGCGATTTTCACCACCATGTTCTCGCCCACCAGGCAGTTCCTGGTGGCCAGGTCCCGGTGCACGAACTTGCGCTCCGAGAGGTAAGCCATGCCGGCGGCCACCTGCCTGGCGATGCACAGCTGCTCGGCGCAGGAGAGCGGCGGCGGGGCCGGGCTGGCGGCCTGGGCCCTCCCGGACAGGTCGCTGTGACTGAGGCTGCACACGGGGTGCGGGGACATGCTGCGGAGGAACTCGTTGAGGTCGCCGTAGGCCATGTATTCAAAGAGCAGGCACATGGGCTTCCCGACGGCGCACACGCCTGCAACGGAAACCGCGGCCCTCGTTAGGCTGGGTGTGTCAAGTGACGCCCTGGAAAGAGGGCTGCCAAAGCACGTGGCCAGATCAGGGACTAGGGGGCCCCCGTTTTCTGTGGACAGCATCGCGCTCGAACCCCGACCCCGTTTGTGTGGGTCAACACCTCCTGTTTACCTTTTAAGATTCAGTTTATCCATCACTCCTGCTAAATGCCCCCATCGCGGACACTGCCTGTATCAGAAGGACACTGCCTTCTATCAGCCTGTAGCGGAGGACCTACGGCCCTGTGACAATCATCCGTTAGTCTGAGGTTTCTCCTCCAACATCTTAGCGCTCTGAAAGAAGTCGGGGCTTATTTTTTAAAATCCCACACATACACCACGTGTTTGGCACAGCAAGGGCTTGGTACATGCTTGATGAGTGAACTTAACAAATGGTGCTTGCTTTGAGCATGTAAGCTAATGGCTCTGTGTTTCCGCTATTTCTGCAGAGAAGGATGATAAGGAAGGTGTATGCTGTTTGGAAAGGATAACATAAACAATCCCAAATCTTAGGTGATGCGCTCAGTAAAACTGCAAAATTTAGGCTTTAGGATGTTCATTCTAGAAAGAAAAACGGTGTTAACATAGAGTCTCAGGGTGAGTGCCAGCAGGACATTTTCAAATCTTAAAGTCTTGCTCCATTTGAGAGGGAAATAGGACACCTTGAAATATTAGATCACTTGGGCACAATTTCACATCACAGTAAAAATAGATTATTAGACCTATTATTCTTTTTTTCAGGCAAAAATTAGAAGTCTCTGGTCAAAAAGGAAGAGAAGTAATGAATACTATTATCTTGGCTTATTTATATTGGGCCTGGTGTTTAATTCTAGGGACTCAGCAATCAGTATATTTATATATCCTAAAGAGAAAATTATAGAAATGACAACATATTTCTCTGAGTAACTGGAAAAAAAAAAGCAATGTTTTGAACTGACGTTATGTAATGTAACGTTCCACTCCCTGGTGTAGAAAATATGTGGGAAGGAACAGGGATGTCTCTCTGACTAAGAAGTGAAGGAAAAAGCACAAATGTAGGATAAAGGAGGAAAATGAGGGAAGCCTCTGTCTGGAGGACGCAATGCATTTCATTTCTTCTTCTTCTTCTTTTTTTTAAATTTATTTCTAGGAGAGAGAGACAGCATGAGCAGGGGAGGGTCAGAGAGAGAGGGAGATACAGACTCTGAAACAGGCTCCAGGCTCCGAGCTGGCAGTCAGCACAGAGCCCGACGCGGGGCTCGAACCCATGAACCATGAGATCATGACCTAAGCGAAAGTCGGACGCTTAACCGACTAAGCCACCCAGGCGCCCCTCATTTCTGTATTCATACCTAAGAGTTTCACAATGTTAGGGTTATCAAATTCTGCCATGAGGGCTGCCTCCCTCTGAAAGTCGGCTTGCATGTCTGCTGAGGCTTCTTCTTTGAGCATCTTCACTGCCACCATTGTGAAGGGTTCATAGGGAAGTAAGCCTGGAGCCCTGAGAGATATGTTTGTTTAGAAGGAAATCAAAGATCGGGAACATTATACATACCCACATTAATCTACCCACATTCACATACATTCCCTCCACTTCTGCAGCCTTTCCCAGAGCCACAGAATCAAAGGAAGATGCCAACAGTAGATTGTACTTAAAACTCCTTGACTCCAATTAATAAGAAGCACTGGGACTCCTTTCAACACAGATTAAGTTTGAAAAATGCATTATTTGTACATTTCAGGAATTCTAAAGTACACAGATCCAATGAGATTGTCATTACCATCCTAAACCCTTAATGTCTGGCCAGAATCTAAATTTCTGGAAGGCAGGGACCATGGCTTATTCATCTTTAAATCCCTCTAAAGCCTCAAATGCTGCCTTGCATATTTTTGGTTCCCAATAAGAATTTGTGTGAGGTTGTCATTAATTATGTAACCTCCATACCAGGGCCACTATGAGTGGAGTTGAGGTTGTGTCCTGCCCAAGAACACCAGGACAAAATGACAATTAGTGATTAAAACCTAGTCCCCATTCTCTGGCCCATTTGTGTGTCTTGAGCACATCCATGCAGAAAGGGTATGTCATTCCAATTCACAGAAAGGCAGTAAATGGGCTAGTATTGATCCCCATATGTACTCCTTCCTTGAGCTTATTGTATTCTGGCATTTTCACATTATTTTTTTCCCTTTTCTGTTTTTGCCATTTCACGGACATCCATTTAATATCTACGTGTGTCAGACTCTGAATTCTCAAAAAAAATTTTTTTAGTGTGTATTTATTTTTGAGAGAGAGAGAGAGAGAGTGTGTGTGAGCAGGGGGCCAGGCAGAGAGAGAGGGAAACAGAATCTGAAACAAGCTCCAGGCTCTGAGCTGTTAGCATGAAGCCCATTGTGGGGCTCAAACCCATGAACCGAGACATTCTTAACCGACTGAGCCACCCAGGCACCCCAAGAGTCTGAATTCTTAAATGGAGACAGTAGTTTAAAGTCAATTTTAAATGAAGTGAAGAATATAGCGATAGGAAATGGAAGAGAAGTAAATTTTAGAATTATTTACTAAACAGAAGGCAAGAAATTATGATTAAAATGTATGATAAAATTATTTCTGAAAAGGAAATATGATTAAATTTGCTAATTGCTTATAATTTGAATATGGCATAAATGAAGATTCTCTCCTTCTACCCAGCCCTATTTTTCAGCAGAGACGAAAAATTATTAAGACTCAAAGTATAGTACTCCAGAAGGTGATGTGAAGAATTATTTGATAATAAGCATCATACATTCAGTGTAGGCATCAAAGTAGTGATTTGGTAGCCTTTCAGATACAAATTTTGGTGGAAAGATTTTTCACATGGGCAACTTTACCTTGCTTGAAAGACCCTTCCAAATGCTCCTTCTCCAATATCTCTCACATATTCAATGTTATTCCTTGGGTACTCCAGGCTCAGCAGTTTGGGATTCAGAAGGAGTGGCATCCTCTGGTACATGGGGTTGGGATGAAGTCTGTCTAGTAAGAGCTCGGAAGGAAGCGTTGTGAGCGTTACTGCCGCTGACTCTCTGCAGGTGAGACAGGCAAGACCAATAATGAACTCAAGGTCAGATGAGATCTTTGTACTCAGGCTTGGGTTTTATTTTTATTTTTTAATCTTTTAATTATTTATTTTTTCTTTCATAGTTTATTGTCAAGTTGGTTTCCATATAACATGCAGTGCCCATCCCAACAAGTGCCCTCCACCTGGGTGGCTCAGTCAGTTAAGCATCCGACTTCAGGCTTTGGTTTTAAAGAGAGGATACTAGGAGGAAACAAAACAAATTCTACTAAGGCAGCTGAAGATCCTTCAGTTTTAGAGCAAGAAGTGCTTTACTTGGAGTCAAAGCACATTTTCTTGGGAACTTTGTCACTATCCCATGTGGCATAGCAATGGGGCTGAGCAGGAGTAGCCATATTCTTCCAAATTATTGTTTAGATTCTCTCTACTGTGAAAAGTTAAGCTTGGGACATGTGATCCTATGCAAAAAGTTACTGATATTTTAAATGATCATGGTGGGGTGCTTGATCTTAAGGCAACTGACGTCCTAAAGAGACTGGCCATGTTATTATAGATCCTTCTTCCCATCCCCAATTCCCATATTAAGTCTGTAGGTTTTAATATATTACTGCAGGTGATTAGCTTAAATTAGAATCTCACCTTTTCTTATTTTTCCATTGTTTTCGTCTTCGGCAGCAATAAAGAGTAGTTATAGTAAGGAGCACAAATATTGCAATGCTGGACATGATGGAGATTATTACAGTCATGGAGTATGTAGGTGAGACAGAGAAGGAGGAGGAAGAAGAGGAAGGCAGATTTGGAATGTCCACACTCGGCTTTGAGGACGTCATTGGTGGGAATGCTGTAAGTGAACAATAAATCTTTTCATTCATTCTTAAACTTTTAAGAGGCAATCTTTGCATTCAAGCAATCTTCGCTAAATTCAAATAAGTTTAGTAAACTAAATTTAATTTTAAGGATATGTTCTATGGATCAGGTCCTCCCTGGTTATACCTCTCTAAAGGCTAAGTGTAAGAATCCAGAGGTCCAGTTGTAAGTAAATCCAACTTACAGAATCATTGTATTTTAAAGATGAGACCCAGAGAAAGGAAATATTTTTTTTCCAAGACAAATGCAGATCCTGGGTTAGTGCTGTTTACACTGTATCATGTTTTTAATGACCTGACAACAATTATGGAAATTGTTAAGTTATGAGATAAAATAACTTCATGAAATTATATTTGAGGTCAGGGTTGTCTACAGCTGAGCTTTTATACACATTTACTGTTGATTTACCAACAAAACAAAAATAATAGGAGATGAAGAGTAGAAATTTTAGACACAAATGAGAAGTTAGTTCATCTAAAAATGGAACTGTCAAACTCCTATTAAAAAAGTCAGTGGGGGGGGGCGGGCATCTGGGTGGCTCTGTCGGTTAAGTGTCCGACTTTGGCTCAGGTCAAGATCTTGCAGTTCATCAGTTTGGACCCTGTGTTGGACTCTGTGCTGACAGCTCAGAGCCTAGAGCCTGCTCTGGATTCTGTGCCTCCCTCTCTCTCAAAAATAAATAAGCATTAAAAAAAAAAAAAGGTCAATGCAATATGAAAACAAGGTAAAATCTGCATTACCCTGGAAACCATCAGATGCCATGTTCATATCACTCTGTGGAGTGCAAAGTCCACTGTGTATCTATTAAAACAAACTGTATTATATTCTTTTAATTGACTGAGTAAAGACAAAAATGCAGATATAGAGTATTTTAATAATATAGTTGATAAGAATGTTCTAATAGCAAACAATGTACTTTGTATCCTACACAGAGAGAGTAAACCCTGTTTTCAAATGTTTGTGAAATACTGACAGACACAATCTTTTGTCAGGCCACAAAAGTAACTCTCAAATTTCAAAGGCAGAAATTATGTGGACTTATTCCTTGACTAAAATGCAAGTAACAGTAGACTAAGTAAAATCTAATGGGACATCTAGAAAAATAAAAAAATGCAATAACTTTTCAATCAAAGATTAAAAAGTAGCCACAGTGACAGATTCGAAAGTAATTTCCTGATAGAGTATATAAGCTTTGGCCAAAGCCGTGCTCATTGGTAAACTAAGTGTTGTCTCTTTCCGTTAGATAAAAAGGATGAAAGTGAATGAACTAGGCGTTTAACTCAAGACTTCTGGAAAAGAAACAAAAACGACAGAAAACAGAGAAAAATAGATGATAAACAGCCATGTACAAGCAGTAATTAATTGGTTAGAATACACATACCACAAATGCTAGAACTTAAAAATAGGTCATGAGTTGGTCTTATCTTTATAAAGTAGTCTAGTAAGTAGAATTTTAATTTTTAAAAGATAAGAAAAGCACAAACATATCAAATTAGGAATGGTAAAGGAGTTATGACAGTAGAATGTAATTGTGCAATAGCATTCTTTAAATCTTTAGAAAAATGGTAGCACTACATTTGCCAAATTTGAAAAATCAGAAAATCTGAAGATAGTCTTAACCAGAACATTGAAAAGTCATTAAAGAATCATGGAGACGTTCTTTGGGTCTCAGAAGAAATAAAATTTCCAGATTTTATAAAATGTTATAGTAAGAGAAAGATCCGTGAAATTATTTTAGAGAGTTATTATAATACTAATACCACACCCTGGCGACGTTAGCACAAAAGAGAAGTGCATACGTAGGTTAAGGAACATAGATTTAAACAATCCTAAATGAAACGTTATAAAGTGGATGCAATGTAGCAAAAGAATTATGTGTTTGGTATAAGGAAATATATAACGTATCACAAAATCAAAAGGAAACTTTTATTGTGGCAGATGCCTAAAGGCGTTTGAAATAGGACACTTGCAAAAGCAGAGATGACAAGGGGTGCCCTTGTATGACTTCTTAGTGTAGGAGTGGACAGTTATTACGACCTGAGCACCAGTAGCTAGCAAATGGTTTTAAAGCCCGTGGAGCTCAAGTTTGGCCACTTCTGTGACAGGAAGGACATCAGCCCAGGACTGGAACTGGAAAAACGGCACACAGTGCATTTCCGAGCAACAACAGCATTTCTCATCGGTGTCACAGCAACAGTGGACTTAGCCTCCCCAGGTTCCTTTATGATTGGCTGGGAAGCCGATCTGACTTTCTTTGGACTGAGTCATCTGAAGGGTTTTTAAAAAACTCAATCCATGGGGTGCTTGGGTGGCTCAGTCGGTTAAGCATCTGACTTTGGCTCAGGTCATGATCTCACGGTTCGTGGGTTTGAGCCCCGGGTCAGGCTCTGTGCTGACAGCTAAGAGCCTGGAGCCTGCTTCAGATTCTGTGTCTCCGTCTCTCTCTGACCCTCCCCTGCTCATGCTGTCTCTCTCTCTCAGAAATTAAAAAAAAAATTTTTTTTTAAACCCTCAATCCAAGATGGGTGGGGAGGGGGGAGGCTTAAATTGGAAAGCAGGACTTCCTGCTAATAATAAAGTAGGAGTAATCATTGAAAGGCAGGAAGAGGTGACTATTTTTGTATCTGGATTTTATAGGGCAGTTCATACCTTATTTAACATGGAAAGAAATGCAATATAATTTGTAAAATTGGTAGTGTAATCTCATTAGTAAATATAAGGATAATTTTTTTATCAAAAATATCATACATATTGGGGCACCTGGGTGGCTCAGTCGGTTAAGCGCCTGACTTTGGCTCAGGTCATGATCTCACGGTTTGTGGGTTTGAGCTTTGTCTCTGTCTCTCTGTCTCTCTCTCTCAAAAATAAACATTAATAAAATTTTTTTTAAAAAAGGGGGAACACCCAGTAGAAGGCATTTGTGTGTGGATGGAACTAGGGGGGATCAGGTAGGGAGGTAGTATTCCGCAAAGAAGGAGTAACATGTATCAGCGTTCAAACCAAGCAGTTGGCCCACTTTCCTAAAAGTGCACCTGACAGTTGCATTGTTGAGTTGGGGAGGGTGTCTGGGTAAGGCTGCAGATAACCAGGTCTGGGTCGTAAAAGGCCTTGCACGCCAAGGTAGGTAATTTGGACTTGGCCCTGCAGTAAATGGAGAGAATCATCAGAGGGTTTTAAACAGTGGAGCAGCATGATCAGCTTTTTGCTTTAGAAAGATCACGTGCCTGGGGTCTGACTTCCGTGGCTGATTTCAAGCTACCAAGAGAAAGAAAGTCCTGAAGGCAGAGTTGGAGAGAGGTGTTCAGTAAGGCCCCATTGCATAGGATTGCCACCATGCAGACAACAAGGATAAAGAGAAAATCTCAAAGTTTCTTTCTAAACAGGAACATATTGCTTATAAGAAAAAGTAACCAGACTCATACCAGACGACCAGTCATTTTCAAACCTAGAAGCTGGAAAAGAGTGAAATCACATTTACAGATTACTGAGAGAATATCACTCAAAACTAGATGCAGCTCATCTAGCTTTCAGCTATCCAGGCAAAAGCAAGCTAATGTGAACATTTGCAAAGAAACAGAGACTCTGTCACCCACAAACCCATCTGAGGGAATACACAGAGTATGTGCAGCCTTGTGGAATTCAGCAGTAGTGAGATGCCTGGTTAGCAGACAAGGTAAACAGTACAAAGACATTGCAAGCTCAAAAAGATATTTCACTTCAGCAAAAGAAGTTATACAAATGAAAACTACTGAAATCCTACTGTGTATATTCAAGCAAAAAATAGAAAATCTTCCATCACCCTTCTAAGTGAACTGGCAATATCCTTTATAGAGTTTACTCAGAAATCAAGAAACCCTTCAAGAGATATTTGAGGGCTTTATACACTCCATAAAATAAGGACACTCTACTGCATAAAGATGACTTCTTTGCTTAACTATCAACCTACCTGAGAAGCTCAAGTCAATTTCTTTAACACTAATTGCATTTAACCAGAGAGCACATTTTAAGCCAGTTCTGAGTAACAGGGTCAGGTGAAATGATCAGTTGATGACATTTGGAGTTCATTTTCTGACATGTACCAAAGATTTCATAAAAATAGGTTAAGAGTAGGAAATTGGTCTGTGGTTAGCTAATTGTAGCCAACAATTTTTATAATCAGTATACAAGGCAGAAATATGGATGCTTTCTGTGTGTGTTCCTGTCTGATATGGGACTGAAGGTCAGCACCTTCCACACGGTAAACCCCCAGTGAGTGCTTGAATGGACGAATGAGTAAACAAAGGATAACAAAGACCACAGTCACCAATTAAAAGTCTAATCAAAGTAGACTTTAGCTACTTATATGACAAAGGATTGAAGCTTTTCCTTTTCATTCCTTCAATTTGGAAACAACAATTTGACAGGTTTACAGAGTGACAGATTTATAGGGTTTCCGTACCGCTGTTGTTTATTAATGCTGAGTGATTCAAGTGGGACCAACAGCATTCTTTCTTTTAATACTTTAAGTCTTAGCTCTTGAAGGAAGCTGGTAAAATCAAGGCCAGGCACTTTGCCAGGTGCAGAGGTAATTAGGCCCAGAATATACGTCATAGGAAATAAATATGATTGAAGCCCTTGAAAGCTCAGATCAGAGGAAGTTAATTGAAATGAAAAACTTTTCCAATTTCATTCTGAAGATGTCTGCATTCTGGTAGGGTTAAAGCATCATCTGATTAAACTTCTTATCTAGGACCTCTCTTTCTAAGCAACCTTCTTGAGTTCCTTCCTAGGGATTTGGAGGCACCCACTTTTAAAACCATTTGATTTGGGGGCACCTGGGTGACTCAGTTGGTTAAGCATCCAACTTTGGCTTAGGTAATGATCTCACAGTTCACGGGTTCGAGCCCTGCATCGGGCTCTGTGCTGACGGTTCACAGCCTGAGGCCTGCTTCCAGATCTGTGTCTCCCTCTATCTCTGCCCGTGCTCGCTCTCTCTCTCTCAAAAATAAACAAACATTAAAAAAAAAAAAAACATTTGATTTGACCCTGTAAACTTCATGCTGGGGAATCAACTCTCTTAAAAACACACCTTCTTCCAAAAGAAGGATCTCTTGTCACAAATGAAGATCGTGAATTAGCTCAATGAAGAAACAAATATTTGTTTTCATCTGTAAATCATTAAATGGTATAAAAATCAAGAATGCAGAATCAAAAAGTGGCATTTTCAGTTGCTTATTTTGCAGACATTGAAAAGATAAAGCAAGTTCTAACCTTGGGGTTGGGGGTATTACTTGTATCGTTCACTAAATATGGTGCTTTTGATGGCCCAATTAGAAGCTTTAAGCTAAGATCTCTGATGATCTTCCTTCATCTTTTACCCCAGTAAGCAAAGCAAACCTTTGAGAGGGGACGTACATTCTGTTCTGGACACCATGTAGCAGGAGTGTAAATATGCATGCACGAATTCAATTACGTACACATAAGGGTTCAAGGGCACAAACAAAATTACTTACTTGTTAAGTTTTCTTTTTTATAATCTGAGGGGGAAAGGACAAAAATTTGTTTTAAATGAGCATCCAGATATCTCACATATCTGTGAGAGAGTGCTAAGAAATGCAAGTTCTCTTTCAATTTTCAATATACAACTGGTAAACATGCTTTGCATTCAAATGAGAAAGGATTATGTCATTAAAATTAAAGCAGCCGTTAGGGCTAATGACATAGCTCCTTACAAACAAAGTTCATTAAACAACATGCAGCGATTCAGCTTTGTTTTGTGAGATCGGCATTTTCAAGCATGTGGCTTATTTTTGCATGCTTAGAAATCTGCTTCGTCGGCTAAGAAGGGGGACTTTATTCTTTTATTCCACTCATCTGACATAATATGAGGTTTCTTAGCCATTCTCTGCACATTCCAAAAAATGTTACAAGCTTTCATAAGATCCCCTTATGAAATAAGATCTTAAGCAGCAGTTAAGAGTGTTCTTTAATTTCTTTTTGAACCAAGTGGAGTAAACCCTTATGCTAACCAGTGCAATTAGGATATATGGTAGGATTCTGTGATTAGGTATCTAAAAAGGGCAGGACTCAAGAAATAAATTAGAAATGCTTAGAAATAGGGGCGCCTGGGTGGCTTAGTCGGTTAAGCGTCCGACTTTCGCTTAGGTCATGATCTCGCGGTTCGTGGGTTCGAGCCCCGCGTCGGGCTCTGTGCTGACTGCCAGCTCAGAGCCTGGAGCCTGTTTCAGTCTGTGACTCCCTCTCTCTCTGACCCTCCCCTGCTCACGCTGTCTCTCTCTCTCTCCTAGAAATAAATAAAACATTAAAAAAAAAAACAAAAAACCCCCCCCCCCAAAAAAGAAATGCTTAGAAATATTAGGAGATTTAAGCTCACAACTTAGTTTCTTCAAAGTGTAAACTTGTCTTGACCTCTAGAGCACTGAGAGAACTCTGTTACCTAAATATGGCAGTCTGGTGCAGGCCGTGGGGTCCCAGTGCATGCTGGGGAGCGTGGTGCATTCTGGCACTGGGAGCAGGTGCACGCCAGATCTGTAGAGCCCTCTGTGAGTCTTCTCTTCCATTGCCAGCCATTCTTTCGCACAGAAGAGCTCCTTTACTGCCAGGCAATATTCTCTAAAATATTTCAGGGAGAACAAAACTTGATTAATCATAGCTTGCTAAAGCCAAATTTGTGGCAGAGCCTAGATTCTGTATATTCGGAAATAATCACCATAGTACATTGTCTGTTCTTGCAAAAGCATTTTTGAAAGGATCCTTTTATAGTAAATAATGTGAGACTTCATGAAATATAGTGTATATCCCTGAGACGAAATGCCGTCTTTTTTGGTTTTCAAAGCGTAGCTAAGGCTATTGGGGGAAAAGAATTTTTAAGCTCAAAAGGTGATAGATTAGGAATCCCTGATATGCATTCTCTCTTATTCATATTAACATAAATGCAAAGGTACAGAAACAAGGTACATTGAGTTTAAAAAACGCACACAATAAAAGTCATAGATTGTTGTCAATCAGTTTCTAGCCTGAGAGATTCTCCTGTAATCTCAGGGCTAATGGTCAGGGACTGGAGCACAGCTGGCACATCCGCATGCTTTGCTCAACAGAACAGAAAGCCCCACCTTCCTAGCAGGTTACAGGAGGGCATGTGGACCCTTATCTACCCGAGCCTTGGAGAAGCTGCCTCCTATCCCATTTCCGTGTATGCTTCCATCTGAGAAAGCCACAGTGATGTCACTTTAAATATGAAATGTTCTGTTTGTCCATGTGTTTTATTAGGAGCGAAGAGGCTGAAGAAAGACTAGTTGTATTAGAATTTTGTGCATTAATATTTGCTCAGCTTGTCCTATAAAAAATAGGATAGACTACCTAGGAGAAACCTGGTTAACTCCAAATTAAGATATTTTGGATTAGTAATAAAAGGAAGTTATAGATTATTAAAGAACTTAGAGATACTAGCAATGTTGTTCATTCAATATCTAAAGGATTCTGAGAGCAAGAAATTGTGTGTGTGCATGTATGGTATACATATACATATCCGTGTCACAGTGGTGTCTTTTTAAAATAGTACTGCATATACTGCCACTTTTCTGGGCAACCACCTGTCAGTAAGGGCCAACTGAACATGTGTGGAATGAAAGGGCTATGCATGTGTATAGGATAGGAATAAATGTGACAGAATACAATAGGGGTCATGAGAACAACAATGGGATTTTGAATTCTTGATGTGTCCACAGTGGAAGGGAGAGCAGTGAGCCTTTCAAGGCTTCTGAGAGCCTGAAGAACGCAAGCAGTTACTTAGCTTACTTCCACTTCTGCCTGGGTCCCACCCTTGGGTCACACAAACACAACTTTCTGCATTCAGACAGCACAGTTAAACTATGCAAAAATCAGTAGGGGTTAGGTGAAAAAAAAAAAAAAACAAAACTCCATAGCCCACATCATGTGGATGAAGCAAATGCCCTGGAAAGTTATTTTTTTATTCTAAACAGGAGAACACATTAGAGAAAGTTTTGTTTGTTTTGCTTTGCTTCCATTGCCGTGTATTAAAGAGGACCTCTATAGAAGAGTCTTTTACAGGGGAAAAAAATCAGGATGAAATGGAAAATAAACTGAAAACTAGGTTAGCTTGAACATAGTAGTAACTGAAGAAAATAAAGGCCACAAAGAAGTGAAATCAACACCAAAACTAAAATTGTCATCAAAGCCAGCAAAGAAATGTCACTGTCAGACATTGAACAAGTAACAAAGGAAAACCTTACGAGTCAGAACTGAATACTGACAGACTGGATGAATGGTGAAAATGATGTATGAGGAGACAGCTGAGGGGGAAGAGCCAGCAAGAAATCCGGAGCACAGATAATCTTTCCCAATAAGAAAACTAGAGCACACAAAAAATGGAAGATACTCAAAGACGTACTAAAAGAAAACATTCTTAGGATAAGAAGGAAGTAAACCTGATAATCAAGGTACATTATCCATTATTTTGGTATTAATTATAGGAAAGAAAATAATGAAAAAAGAATTACTCCCAGATGAATTTTACAAATATTGTGAATCTCAAATATTAAAAAAGAATCCTCCTACCATTTGGCAAGAGAAAAATATTCCCTACAAAGGAACAAAATTCAGGATTGCCCTATATGTTCTTCATTACAACACAGCCAAAAACCAATCAAGAGTACACAAGATTTTGAGGATAATTGAATGTAACCTAAGACCTAAATAGTCAGTGAGAAATGCGCGCGCACGCACTCACACACGATCACAAGATTATGGGGAAAAATGTTTACATGTAATCTTCTAAAAATCATCTTCTCCAGCTGAACAAGAGATGAATCAAAATTTAGAACTTAAGAAAGATTTTCTATGATATAAGTGACAGTGAGCATCAGGGATAAATAACAGAGGTCTCTACTAGGTAGGTGTATATATGATGATGCAATCATATGTAAAAGCTAAAAATAATGACCTGGTTTTATCAAAACAGAGGTGGAAATGTGCTGTGTTGGTAGTTTTCATGTGTTTTCTTCAAAAGCAAACAATATCAATCCAGTTTCTAACATATACCACAGGTTCAATTGATCCTGTAATTGTCTCTCCTTTGCGGATGAGGAAACTGAAGGTTAGCCAAGGTCACATGTAATTAGAAAAGAGTACAAATAGTATTTGAACTTCATTCTGCTTGGCTCAAAAGCCAGATTGCTTCCTATCTTTTCTCCACAACAAGTAAATAAAGGCAAAGATAATTCTATCAAATATGGATTTATGAATTTCTGTGTTTAAAGAGTATGGGGGTTTTAACGAAATAACTTTTTAATACAGTCTCTTCTCACATGAGAGTGTTAGTACTTCAATAAGAGCATTGAGTGGAATGTATTTTAAAATAATATACATATGATATAAAATAATATTCTGAACTGCTCCCCAACATCTCATATTTGTTGACAAATAACGCTGAAACATTTGAAATGGATGTTTTCTCTTCACTATCTTAGCTTACTCCTGAGGTCCATGTTTGTTCAGGATTTTGTATTTTTTTATTTCATAGAAAGCAGGGGTACTTATGAATATAATACTAACATGAACAATAACACGTATAATAGAATATTGTACCTCTTATGACATTTTCTAGAAGCTTAGAGCCCTTGTATTATAGAAGGTCATCAGGGATTTAAATGGTAGGAATTCTGTCCAATTAACTACCTTCTATTTTGGACAAGAGCCACCTTTGGCCTGTATCATTGCACATGAGAGTGTCTTTTAAAAACTCTCCCTATTTGCGGTCAAAAGAATTTCCCCATTTTTTTCTTCTTTTATTTTACCTGCAAATGGGTGTAGGAGAAGGTATTACTCCAGGGTTGCATTCTTGGAAGATGTGGTTACACAGCAAAGCCTCAGCAGCTGGCCGGCAAAATGGGCTCACTGCTTTCAGTTCATTCCAGGCGGTGTGAACCAGCAGTTCCTGGGCCTCCTCAGGGTCTGCGTAGGAGTTGTTGAAGAAAACAAGAGCATCTCTGGCCAGGACAGCATTACACACCTCCCCTCTGTACTGGCTGCAGTAGCCTTTGTTATCTTTCTGTAGCTTACTGAAAGAAGAAAGGAACAATGTACCCAATCATGCCGTGTTTCTTAGCCTTCAGTCTATTTTTCTTCAATTTCCACCTCTGCATCAGAAAAATAGGAGGAGATTGTAGTAGAAAATTGGCCGAAATGTTCTATCTGAATACTGTTTTCATTTCCAGCTGTAATCACCTCCAGCTACTCGAGAGGGCTATCATGAGATCATATGTGAAAATGGATGTGGACAGTTTTGAGAACTATCAAGGACTGAATAGATTTGAGAATTTTTATTATTTACCTATAAGTAGAACTTAACTACTTTTAGTTAAGCCACCTCATAACTTTCTTACAAATGGAGCTGATTTAAGCAAGTAAAAGACATCTTAAAAACATATCTACTGTGATGACTAACAAATGATTAAGTATAAAATCATGGTGAGCCAGCTTTATGAACATGGTTTGTGTGTTATGATTGTTAAGTACCTGAATTTTGTAGAACACGTGCATCTTTGCAACACCTTCCATACTCAGATTCTCTCACTCAGATATCTTCCCAGCATTTCATTAAAGAAGAAAAAGAAAGCCACCTAGGGAGGAGGAAGCTTGGATATCGCTCTTAGGGGAGCTAAGTAAAGCATCTTCAGCTTTACTATTTTCTCTTTACATGATTTGGGGAAAGTCATCTGATCACCCAGAGCCCCAAAGTCCTTATCTGTTGTTGAGTGATGTAAGTAATTATTTGGGACTCAGATTGTGTGTTAATGGGTGATATATGAGGAAAAAATCTAAGTTCTATAGTGCTAGCACAAAAATAAGGTTAGAAGCTTATCTGCGATAACAACTGAGAATGATAGGCAGAATGGAAAAAATAACTGCTGATACTCGCTGCTCTCATCCACTGCCCCCTAGCGGAATGCTGGGAATTATAATAACAACTCCTATACTCCCCTGCCACCCATTTCTTGGGCACATATTATGTGTAGACACGGTGACCGTCTCAACATGTTCTTATGCTTTCCGTCAGACCTGTATTGTTAACAATGACAAAAAAAACCAAGCTGTATTCTCATTTAGATTTGTACAACTGTTGGGATCGCCCATTTCATTATCTTTACATAAAGGATTTTAAGGCAAGAGAATTAAACAAATTGGAATTTGTGGGAAATTTTTAAATTGTGAAGAGACCCCAATTTGAATTCAAACAACTGAGACTTGGATTAGAAACTGTCACTGACTAGTGTTTTAAGAAAATCTATTCGACGGTATATAGCTCATTCATGTAAAACAATGAACTTCCAAGAAATTCTATACTTTCAAATAATGTTTTATATAATAGAATCTTCCTCTAATTCATACTAGCCTTTCACTAATCAGGCAACACGAATTTTACTGCATTACTTGTAGTTTGTAGTTCATTTTAAAAATGAAGGCCTGGGGGCTCCTGGGGGACTCAGTTGATTGAGCATCTGACCTCGTCTCAGGTCATGATCTCACCACTCCTGAGCTGGAGCTGTGCTGACAGCTCAGAGCCTGGAGCCTGCTTCAGATTCTGTGTCTCCCTCTCTCTCTGCCCCTCCCCCACTCGCGCTCTGTTTCTCTCTCTCAAAAATAAATATTCAATTTTTTTTTAAATGATGGCCTTGAAAAAGAAAACAGAAAACTCTCATGAAAACTTGGGCTGGATAAGGTTGAGCAAACACGCAGGGAAATCCAGTCTATGATAACACTAAGAAAGTTCAAGAGAAGCAAGGATACTAAGCTCTTAAGAAACTGAAGAATAATACCTAAGACCCAGAAACACTTCAAACTGCCTTACTACGTGGTCTCACCTTTTAACATAATACCTTTGTATAAAGGGGGGATACATAAAAGCAGGCAGGATTCTTTTCATTTAAAACAAAAACTGTGTCACGTAAAAGTTAAATATTTCCCCTAGTGTCTCTGGGCTGAGCCTATTCCCCCAGGTTCTGCCTTCACGTGTTAACCATTGAATGACTCGGTCTTTATTTTTCCATAAGTACTTTTTGAATTAAAAAATTCATGATGTTTCCTTTAACTATACAAGCAAAACAATAAAACAGAAAAGGTACACAAAAGAAAAATTAATAAAAATAGCCTCAGAAATAAGGATGACTGGCAATTAATAAGCAGTCCCTTTCTGTGGCCTGTCTTTATAAAAGCCGAGAAAAATCTTTCGAACCTCAGTTGGCCAGATGGTATTGAGTCCTCATTATTTATTAGCTACATAATGTGAAAGAAAAAAGCAAAAAAAAAAACCCCAAAAAAACAGAAAACATACTGACTCCTAAACATGTAATGTTTGTAGTGATCAAAAATCTTAGAGGCAGCCCCTGGAGGGGGCATATGGGACCATTGTCCCTCATCCTAACCCAACACTTCAACGTTTAGGGGACTGGACGAGATGAATGTAAAGAATCTCCACTGGTGTCTTCTGCTCTCGCTTGCAAATGACGAGACCCCCCCCCCCCCCCCCCCCAGAAGCAGTGGGCCTTGTTGGGCTTTCGAACAGCGGGGCAGAGGTCACAGGGGTCTGTTCACAGAACGCTGGTGATTTTGGAATGGTCTGCGGGACAGGCTCCAGAAGTGCCGGTTCGTGCTGCACGTGGAGCCAGTCCCTCTCTTGCCTCGTGACGAATGAAACCTGGCTGACCTCCCTTTCTGTAAACTTTTTCTTCTTAGAGGCAGCAGTGGATATATGATCTCAGGTCTCTCCTTTAACTTAAAACACACAACTCTCCTTGGTCAAACTGAACGTTTAAAGGATTCTCACTACACCCCTTACTCTTCTGTCTCTCTGCTTTCACAGATAGGAATCCCATCCAATGGGGCATTTTTGTACGTGGTCTTGCAGTTTCTTTGCAGGAGACCTCCACTCCCTTTGAACGCACACTCCTTTCTCAAGGGCACGTCCAGAGGACCAGCTGAGGCTAGTTTGGGTTAAGGCAACCCCCCTCCTCCAGTGGAAACTCTCAGTTCTTTCACCCTCCCTGGCGTGGCACACCCGAGAGCCGTCCTCGGGCCCAGTGTTTTTTTCCTTATCCGCGCTTCTGCTCACCCTGGTCTCACATCCAAGGTCAGCCAGGGGCCGGAGACGATGCCCCTGCTGACGCAGCCTCAGAAGGTCACACCACGCTTTCCCACCTGCGTCACTCACCTCCCTTTCCCCTCTCACAGCATCACAGGAAGGGTGAGTGCGGTCAGTAAGATATCTCGAGAGGTCACATTCGCAACGTTCATTACAGTGTATCGTCATCATTGTTCTATGGTAGGATTACTGTTGTCAGTCTCTTACTGTGCCCGACTTATCAGTCAAACTTTGTCATAGGTGTGCATATATAGGGAAAAAAAACAGTATAGGTAGGGTTCAGGCCTTTCCGTGTTTCAGGCATCCACGTGGGGGCTCGGATCATATCACCTGTGGATAAGGGGGAACTGCCCTAAAATGTTTCCTTAGGTAGCAACTGTACTTCCTCACAAGTGCGATGACAGCGTTCAATACCGCTTCCACCGTCCAAAGCAAACTGGAATAATTTTTATTCTTTCATGCCTGGTGTCTTTGTAGATAATTGATTCTCTGAGGTGGGGGTCAGCAAATGGAATCCACAGATCAAATTCTGCCTACTGCCCGTTTTTATACTGCCTGCGAGCTAAGAACGGTGTTGACGTTTTTAAGTGGGAAAAAAAAGTCAAAAGAAGTGAAAATGATACGAAATTTAAATTCCAGTATCCGTAAGTAACAGTTTATTGGAACAGAGCCATGTTCAACCGTTTATGAGTCGCCCATGGCTGAGCTGAGCAGTTGTAACAGGGACTGTATGGCCACAAAGCCAAATATATTGCATATCTGATCCTTTATGGAAGACATTTGTGGACTAAAATTCATGCTCAGTTTCTGTGTAAAATAAAGATGTAAGGAATGATGAAGTAAAGAAGAAAGAATTTTAATTAAAAATGTGAAAATTATATTAGCCAAATATATAAACACTGTGTATATACTTTATGTATCTGTACACATATCAGTTATAATCAGTATATTCATGGGGTGCCTGGGTGGCTCAGTCGGTTAAGCATCTGACTTAGGCTCAGGTCATGATCTCACAGTTTGTGGGTTCAAGTCCCACGTCGGGCTCTGTGCTGACAGCTAGCTCAGAGCCTGGAGCCTGTTTCGGATTCTGTGTCTCCCTCTGTCTCTGACCCTCCCCTGTTCATGCTGTCTCTCTCTATCAGAGATAAATTTAAAAAAAAACATTAAAAAATCAGTATATTAAAAAAAATCAGTATATTCATAAGCACATATAGTGTTTTATGTACTGTATATAGCATATATACGTAATACATAGTTGTGTGTATAGTATATTTAGAATTATCCTGTAAATATATTTTTGCCTCCTGCATTTAAAAAAAATTATTTTGAGAGAAAGAGAGTGCACATGCATGTGCACGGGGTAGAGAGAGAGGGAGAGAGAATCTCAAGCAGGCTCCATCTCATGAACTATGAGATCATGACCTGAGCCGAAATCAGGAGTCTGATGCTTTTTTTTTTTTTTTTTTTTTTTTTTTTTTTTTTTTTAATGTTTTATTTATTTCTAGGAGAGAGAGAGAGAGAGACAGTGTGAACAGGGGAGGGTCAGAGAGAGAGGGAGACACAAAATCCGAAACAGGCTCCAGGCTTTGAGCTAGCTGTCAGCACAGAGCCTGATGCGGGGCTCGAACCCACGAGCTGTGAGATCATGACCTGAGCCGAAGTTGGACGCTTAACTGACTAAGCCACCCAGGCACCCCAGGAGTCTGATGCTTAATCGACTGAGCTACCAGGCACCCCTGTTTCCTGCATTTTTATTTATTATGGTATTATAAACACTTTCCTGTGCTATTATATTTTTTCAAAAGCGTGGTTTTTAATCACAATTTCCCTTACTGGTAGATATTGACATTGCTCATAAATTTCACTAATAAATATAATATTGTTTTCAGTTTTGTTGCTCATACACTTATTATTTTCTTAACATAGATAATTAAAAGTGGGTTTATCCAATCAATTAGATAGAACCATCTTAAGGTTCTTAATAAAAACTGCCAAATGCTCTCTAGGGGATTACAGCAGTTTTCTCTCTACCACAAGTGAAAAATAGTATGGACTTTTTCTTTAATTACCATTTATTTGACTATGAATGAGCTTAATTTTTGCATTTGCATTTGAATGATCTGTTTCTGTCCTTGAGTCCTTGGAATTTGTTTGTGCTTCTGTTATTATGTTGTCTTGTAATTAATCTCTGTGTGTACATGTGCACCCCTAGGAAAATGTAAATTCCTTGGGGGCCGTGAATACATATAAATTGTTTTGTTTTTCTGCTTTCCAATATAATGTCAGAAATAGAGTGAGTGGTTTAAATATGCATAGGAAGGAGGCACCTGGGTGACTTAGTCGACTGAGCACCTGACCTCATCTCAGGTCATGATCTCGCTGCTCCTGAGTTTGAGCCCTACATCTGGTTCTGTACTGAAGGCTCAGAACCTGGAGTCTGCTTCAGATTCTGTGTCTCCCTCTCTCTTTCTCTGCCCCTCTCCTCTCCCTGTCTCTCTCAAAAATAAATAAACATTTAAAATAAATAAATAAAAATGCATAGGAAGGACAGGAAGGATGCATAATGGCATGTGAAGGAAAGATGGGATCTCTTCTCTTGGTGGCCCGTGTTTTAACCTAACTTTTACCACATTTATGTCGTACATCTGTTCAGTAGATATTCAGCTTCATTGTAGAGTCCCTGGGGACAGAACTATCTCTTAGAATTGTGATAAATGAATGAATGTTTCAAAGATACCCAAATTGGCACAAGATTAAGAACTAGTGCAGTGACTTATTCTATTCCATGGAATGAGAATCTAAGGGTGGAGTTCTAGGTCCTGCTCAGGTACTGTGCCGTCTGGGTTAGTATAGTAGTTACCAGTCTCAGTTCTTGAGTCTGTCTACCTGAGCTCAGATTGACAGCTTTATAGTTGCCAACTGTGTGATCTGGACAGCTCCTAGTGTATCAGGTTCCTTCTATTAAAAAATAGGGATACTAGTAGGTCTTGGCTTATAAAGTCACCGAAATGTTAATATAAAAAATGGTGATCATAAATATACCACAAAACATCTATTATACTGATTACTATTATTAATTGATAATCCTGAAATTACAGTTTTGTTACTTCTAAAATTAGATACAAAGTTATGACACTTCATAGAGTTTTTATGAAGGTCCACTAATTTTACTGAAAGTAAAACACTGTAAGTTGCAAACTATTCTATTACAAGGTGATACTTTCTTATCTATGAGATAAAGCTATGAGTGGGGGTTAGGGGGTTTGTTCCGGGTTCAATTTCTAAGCCTATCACTTACTGTTTGTGTAAGTCACTGGAACTCTCCAGTTCAAAGAAACTCTCTTAGTTCCTGTTCTATACAGTAAAAGTAATAACAGTACCTATTTCATAGGGAAGTCCTGAGGATAAATTTAATTTTTTTAATGTTTATTTTATTTTTGAGAGACAGAGACAGAGCATGATTGGGGTAGGAGCAGAGAGAGAGGGAGACACAGAATCTGCAGCAAGCTTCAGGCTCTGAGCTGTCAGCACAGAGCTCAGTTTGGGAGTTGAACCCATGAACTGTGAGATCATGCCCTGAGCCGAGGTCGGATGCTCAACCAACTGAGCCACCCAGGTGCCTCAGGATAAATTTAAATAATACATATAAAATTCTTAGCACAGTGTCTGATACATAGTAAGTATTCAATGGACATTACCTATATTCATCTTCATTATTATCTTGTAAAGTATTAAAAGGATTAGAAATTCTGAAAGATTACAGTATTCAGCAAATAACGAATGGCAAACAAAAAATCATAACGAAACATGATGTGACAACCATATCTTACCTCCACTCTATTAACAGGAAAGGAAGGTCCCACAGGAAATCACATTAAAGGGAAAAAGAAGCAAAAGTTAGTACATTTTAATCTTAACATTTGCAAGAAATAACTTTGATAGCTCTAATTCCTAAGTTTCTGGAAAGTTCTCTTCAGTTAGGAGTCAGATACTGCATCAACAGGCGTATTTGGAGGAGATGAAGCACAAACAGGGTCTCCAGGAACTGTATTCTTTACAGGCTGGGTCCACATCGGGCATTATCAGCCCAGGCAGCTCTAAATTCCTTGCCGCTAGCCACCAAGGGACTTTGTATCAAGTCTGAAGATGAGAGACCAGCCTACCTAAAGCATCTACGGGACCCAGACCACAAGACAGCTCTGCCCCTGGGCAGATAGAAGAGATGAAAAGAGACATCGGGAAATTCTTCTAGAGAAAATGGTATATATTTGGAGGGATAAAGGCAGGTTCTAATAGCAGCTGAGCAGAAAAAACTGTTGAAATACCATGACCAAGATTATGTATATGAAAGAGTCCTCAATTTGAGATGTAAAAGGATTCAGTACCATGAAGATGTGCCAGTCAGTGCCAAAGAGAACCCAGCCAGAGTATTTGGGAGGAGGTACTCAGCTTAGATAGGCTTTTATTTTGAGGACAAGTAAGGAAAGAAAAATGAAACTAATTTAAGGGTGCTTGGATGTCTTGAGAATATTAAGAGAATCAGAAGGTTTGCCTGTGTTTCTGACAGATATTCCGCCAGTCACATTTTGTTTTGGTGGGAAGGTGGGGAGCAGGCGAGGGGTCCAAGAACTTTGCAGTTGTAAATGAGTGCTTTGATTTCAAAACTAGATTTTTTAAAATTCCAAAAATTTCCAACAGTCATCAATATGTGCAGTATCCTTACATTTATCTGGAAAAGTCAGCACAATTTTGGCTGTCTTCTAAAGTACACAGTAAACTTTAATATGAGAAAGCTGCCCGATTGTAAAAAGAATGCTTGCCCCGTATGCCTAACTGCGGGACAGCCGTTTAAGGTGGCTGCTGGCTGTTACTCATGTATTCTTTTCCCTTTCATTTAAAACAAAAACAAACACCTTTAATCAGTTTGAAGCCAAATAAAGCCACCAGGAAACACCAGGGCGCGGTGTCTGTTTTGTTGGGAAGAGCACTGTACCTATCCTGGCTCAAGCAGTGAGTGGAACAGGTGATCCTGAGCCCCTGCGACATCGCCACGTGTCTTGTTACTGGGAAGAACAGTGCAGAGACAGAGGAATGTGACTCTCGGACACGAGAGAGACCATGAGACATAACATATATTCATTAGCTGTATCGATTGTGAAAATATAACTCAAACTTCCATTTTTTTATGGTAATAGTGTGGAACATCAATTCCTAAAATACAGACTATAAACATATGTGGTCCTTTGTGGGGGTGGGGAACCCCAGTATTACTACATCAGATTTCTCCATGTGCCTATTTTTGGATATGCTACATATATTTATTTGAGCTTTAAACTGAGTGACTGGAAGCCCCAGACATTGAGATCAGTCCAGAGAAGGGGAATTGCAGATGGTGGGGGTGTTGGTAGATGGAGTGGCTTGTGTTAGAGGAGGAATGGGAACACAGACTCATTCCTGCACTCTCAGGCTGGATAAGGATAGATAGAACTCAGAACCTCAGTCTTCCAGGAGGGACCTATCAATGCCACTGAGAAGGGGAAATACAAGCTTCTCCTCTACTGAACAGGTGTCTGATTTTTTTTTGCCAGCTTTATGGAGATATAACTGACATATAATGTCTAAGTTTAAGGTATATACTGATATAAAGCAAATTGATTACCTCCTTAGCATTAGCCCACGCCTCCATCTTGTCACATAATTACCATTTCTTTTTTGTGGTTAGGGCATTTAAGATCTAGTCTCATAGCAAGCATACTCACCATATGTACCAAGATTCCCAGAACTTACTCATCTTATAACTGGAAGTGTGTACCCTTCAACCAACATCTCTCTATTTCCCTCCACTACCCAGCATGGGGTAACTACCACTCTAGTCCCTGATTCTATGAGTTAGGCTTTTTAAGATAGCACGTATAAGTGATACCATACATATCTGTCTTTCTCTGACTTACATCGCTTAGCATAATGACCTCAAGTTTCATCCATGTTGTCACAAATGGCCAGATATCCTTCTTTATCATGGCTGCAGAATATCCCATTGTATGTATATATGTATACGAGATACCAGAAGATATATGATGAGATATTATATATATGTATATATGGACCTTATCCATTTGTTGACAGAAGCTTAGGTTGCTGCCATATCTTGTAACTGGTATCTACTGTTTAGATAAACTGTGAATAATGCTGCAGCAATCATGAGAATGCAGATACCTCTTCAATGTCAAGTTTTAATTTCCTTTGGATGAACACCCAGTAGTGGAATTGCTGGGTCACATGTTACCTCTATTTTTAATTTCTTCAGGACCTTCCACCCTGTTTTCCATAGTGTCTCAACCAATTTACATTCCCACCAACAGTGCACAAGGGTTTTCTTTTCTCCACATCCTTGCCAATGCCAACTCTCATCCTTTTTTGGATAGTCATTCAAACAGGTTTGAGGTGATACCTCATTGGGATTTTGATTTGCATTTCCCTGATGATTAGTCATGTTGAGCACCTTTGCATGTACCTGAAAAGGTACATGTTGGCCGTCTGTATGTCTTAAAGAAAAATGTCTGTTCAGACCCATTGCCCTTTTTTTTTTTAATTGAATTGTTTGTCTTTTGCTATTGAGTTGTATGAGCTCTTTATATATTTTGGATATTAACCTCTTCTCAGATACATGACTTAAGAATATTTTTCTCCCATATCATAGGAAGCCTTTTCATCTTGTTGATGGCTTCCTTTGCTGTGCAGAAGCCTTTTAGTCTGATATTATCCCACTGGTTGATTTTTTATCATTATCGTTTTGGTGACATATTTCCAAAAAATCATCACCAACACTGATGTCACAGAGCTTACTGCTTATGTTTTCTTCTAGGAGTTTTATGGTCAGGTCTTATGTTTAGGACATTAAGCAATTTTGAGTTGATTTTTGTGTATGGTATAAGGTAGGGGTCCAGTGTCATTCTTTTGTATGGTTATCTATTTTTCCCAGTGCCATTTATTGAAAAGACTGTTCTTTCCCCATTGTGTATTCTTAAATTTTTTTAACATTTATTTATTTTTGAGAGACAGAGGCAGAGCATGAGCAGGGAAGAGGGGAGAGAGAGAGGGAGACACAGAATCTGAAACAGGCTCTAGGCTCTGAACCATTTGTTAGCGCAGATGGCGGCATGGGGCTCAAACCCACAAACTGTGAGACCATGACCTGAACCAAGTCAGATGCTCAGCTGACTGAACCACCCAGGTGCTCCCCACCCATTGTGTATTCTTGACTTCTTTGTAGTAAATTAATTGACCATATACATGGGAGCTTATTTATGGGCTCTTGATTCCATTGGTTTTGTGTCTGTTTTTATGCCAGCTCTATACTATTTTGATTTCTATAGCTTTGTAATATAGTTTGAAATCAGAAGTGTGATGCCTCCAGCTTTGTTGTTCTTTCTCAGGATTGCTTTGGCTGTTCATGATCTTTTGTGTTCCCATACAAATTGTAGGATTGTTTTATTTCTGTGAAAAATGCCATGGGAATATTAATAAGTATTGCACTAAATCTGTAGCTTGCTTTGAGTGATATGGACATTTAAACAATATTAATTCTTCTGATCCATGAAATAGGATATCTTTTTATTTATTCTTGTCTTCAATTTCTTTCATCAAAATCTTTTCTTCTAAAGAGTTTTCAGCATACAGATCTTTTACCTTCTCAATGAAACTTATTACTGGGTATTTTATTGTTTTTGATGTTATTGTAAATGGGAGGATTTTCTTTATTTCTTTCTTCAATGTTTTGTTGTTAGTGTATAAAAAGACACCTGATTTCTGTATGTTGATTTATATGCTGCAGCTTTACTGGATTTGTTGATCAGTTCTAATGGTTTTTTGGTGGAGTCTTTAGAATTTTCACTATATAAGATCATGTGATCTGGAAACAGATAATTTTACTTCTTCTTTTTCTTTATTTAAAACATTTAAAAAAATGTTTTATTTATTTTTGAGAGAGAGGGACAGAGACAGGCAGAGTATGTGTGAGGGAGGGGCAGAGAGAGAGAGGGAGACAGAGAACTTGAAGCAGGCTCCAGGCACTGAGCTGTCAGCACAGAGTCCAACACTGGGCTTGAACTTGTAAACTGTGAGATCATGGCCTGAGACAAAGTCGGACCCTTAATTGACTAAGCCATCCAGGTGCCCCTCTTCTTCCTTTTCAATCTGGATGCCTTTTATTTCTTTTCATTTCCCAATTGCTCTAACTAGGACTTCTAGTAATATGTTGAATAGAAGTGGTGAGATTGGGTACCCTTGTCTTGTTCCTGATTTTAGAGGAAAAGCTTTCAGCCTCTCACCACTGAGTATGATGTTAAGTTTGGACTTTATTGTGTTGAGGTGTGTTCCTTCTATACTGTTTGTTGAGCATTTTTATCATGAAAGGATATTGCACTTTTTCAAATGCTTTTCTGCATCTATTGAGATAATAGGACCTTTATCTTTCTATTAATGTGGCATATCACATTTATTTGCATATGTTGAACCATCCTTGCAACCTAGGGATCAATCCCACTTGATCATGATGAGAGCTCTTTTTTTTTTTTTTTTTGTATTTTATTTTAGAGAGACCAAGAGAGAGAGAGAGAGAGAGAGAGAGCGAGCGAGCAAGCAGGGGAGAGAGGCCGAGGGAGAGAGAGAATATTAAGCAGGCTTCATGCTCAGCACAGAGACTGATGTGAGGCTCGATCCCACGACCCTAGGATCATGACCTGAGCCAAAATCAAGAGCCAGATGCTCAAATGACAGAGCCACCCGGGCACCCTGGTAAGTTCTCTTTTTAATATGCTATTGAATTTGGCTTGCTA